CACAGTTGAAGTGTACGTATGATAAATATTACAGACCTCTACATGCTTTGTAAGTAGGAAAACCTGCAAAATCGGCAGTGTATCAAATACTTGTTCTCCCCACTGTATACAGTGTGTGCAAATGTAGCAAGTTATGGAGGTAAGGCAATAAATAGGCTATAGTGCAAAATAATTACAATTAGTATTAACACTGGAATGATAGATGTGCAAGAGATTATGTGCAAATAGAGATACTGGGGTGCAAAAGAGCAAAATAAATAACAATATAGGGATGAGGTAGTTGGGCGGGCTAATTTCAGATGGGCTGTGTACAGGTGCAGTGATCGGTAAGGTGCTCTGACAACTGATGCTTAAAGTTAGTGAGGGAGATAAGAGTCTCCAGCTTCAGAGATTTTTGCAATTCGTTCCAGTCATTGGCAGCAGAGAACTGGAAGGAATGGCGGCCAAAGGAGGTGTTGGCTTTGGGGATGACCAGTGAGATATACCAGCTGGAGCGCAGACTACGGGTGGGTGCTGCTATGGTGACCAATGAGCTAAGATAAGGCGGGGATTTGCCTAGCAGTGATTTATAGATGGCCTGGAGCCAGTGGGTTTGACGACGAATATGTAGTGAGGACCAGCCAACAAGAGTGTACAGGTCACAGTGGTGGGTAGTGTATGGGGCTTTGGAGATAAAATGGATGGCACTGTGATAGACTACATCCAATTTGCTGAGTAGAGTGTTGGAGGCTATTTTGTAAATGACATCGCCGAAGTCAAGGATCGGTAGGATAGTCAGTTTTACGAGGGCATGTTTGGCAGCATGAGTGAAGGAGGCTTTGTTGCGAAATAGGAAGCCGATTCTAGATTTAACTTTGGATTGGAGATTCTTAATGTGAGTCTGGAAGGAGAGTTTACAGTCTAACCAGACACCTAGGTATTTGTAGTTGTCCACATACTCTAGGTCAGACCCGTCGAGAGTAGTGATTCTAGTCGGGTGGGCGGGTGCCAGCAGCGTTCGATTGAAGAGCATGCATTTAGTTTTACTAGTGTTTAAGAGCAGTTGGAGGCTACTGAAGGAGTGTTGTATGGCATTGAAGCTCGTTTGGAGGTTTGTTAACACAGTGTCCAATGAAGGGCCAGATGTATACAAAATGGTGTCGTCTGCGTAGAGGTGGATCTGAGAGTCACCAGCAGCAAGAGCGACATCATTGATATACACGGAGAAAAGAGTCGGCCCAAGAATTGAACCCTGTGGCACCCCCATAGAGACTGCCATAGGTCCAGACAACAGGCCCTCCGATTTGACACATTGAACTCTATCTGAGAAGTAGTTGGTGAACCAGGCGAGGCAGTCATTTGAGAAACCAAGGCTATTTAGTCTGCCAATAAGAATGCGGTGGTTGACAGAGTCGAAAGCCTTGGCCAGGTCGATGAAAACGGCTGCACAGTACTGTCTATTATCGATCGCGGTTATAATATCGTTTAGGACCTTGAGCGTGGCTGAAGTGCACCCATGACCAGCTCGGAAACCGGATTGCATAGCGGAGAAGGTACGGTGGGATTCGAAATGGTCGGTGATCTGTTTGTTAACTTGGCTTTCAAATACTTTCGAAAGGCAGGGCAGGATGGATATAGGTCTGTAACAGTTTGGATCTAGAGTGTCACCCCCTTTGAAGAGGGGGATGACCGCGGCAGCTTTCCAATCTCTGGGGATCTCAGACGTTACGAAAGAGAGGTTGAACAGGCTAGTAATAGGGGTTGCGACAATTTCGGCAGCTAGTTTTAGAAAGAAAGGGTCCAGATTGTCTAGCCCAGCTGATTTGTAGGGGTCCAGATTTTGCAGCTCTTTCAGAACATCAGCTGTCTGAATTTGTGTGAAGGAGAAGCGGGGGGGGGGCATGGGCAAGTTGCAGCGGAGTGTGCAGAGTTGGTGGCCGGGGTAGTGGTAGCCAGGTGGAAAGCATGGCCAGCCGTAGCAAAATGCTTGTTGAAATTCTCGATTATCGTAGATTTATCGGTGGTAACAGTGTTTCCTAGCCTCAGTGCAGTGGGCAGCTGGGAGGAAGTGCTCTTATTCTCCATGGACTTTACAGCGTCCCAAAACTTTTTGGAGTTAGTGCTACAGGATGCAAAATTCTGTTTGAAAAAGTTAGCCTTTGCTTTCCTGACTGCTTGTGTATATTGGTTCCTAACTTCCCTGAAAAGTTGCATATCGCGGGGGCTATTTGATGCTAATGCAGTATGCCACAGGATGTTTTTGTGCTGGTCAAGGGTGCATGATGTGATAAAACAATTTCCCAGGTTGGGATTAATAAAGTAATACTCTACTCAATGTACAATGTCTTAAGCGCAATCAAGCAAACATCACCTCTTCCATCCTAATCTGACCTTTAAATCTTGGTCCAGCGACCTTTCTTTGGAGGGCATATAAATGCTGGGCTCAGAGTCCCATCTCTACTGCCACACATCTATCAAAATGTATCTGATCTTACATGTGTCCTCACCTCTACCCAGTGGAACATTAATATCAATTATATCTAGTTCTAACTTTTGGCTAACTGGTCTACAATTTCATTCCCTTCCACACCCGAATGTGCTGGGACCCAGCAGAATCTCACCGCTACACCCATTCTCTCAATTCTCCATAATAACATTAATACCTCCAATAGTAGGTCACTCCTATTAGATTCACCAGATGATAAACTATTCAATACAGACAGAGAATCTGAGCATACTATCATTCTAACAGGTTGTACGTCCTCCACCAACTGGAGGGCTAACTTCCGTTTTCTTCTTCTACATGTGTGATATATCTGCAAATTGAGATTCTACTGCCACCATGTGGATAGGCATTGCCAATGGCTCATTCTGTGGAATGAATCATCCCACACTGGGGCGTCTTACACCCCCCAAAATCTGAGGGGGCACAAAGTACGTGAGGATGATTGGTGGGGTGGTCCGGAGTGGGTCCAGGCCCCCCCTTCCATACATTTGAGAAGTTATCAAACATCTGAAACAGCATCTTCATTCAATCTAGAGCCATAAGCTTCTGCTGGCTCCCAAGTGGCGCGGCGGTCTAAGGCACTGCATCTCAGTGCTTGAGGCGTCACTACAGACCCCCTGGTTCGATTCCAGGCTGTATCACAACCGGCCGTGATTGGGAGTCCCATAGGGCGGCGCACAATTGGCCCAGCGTCGTCCGGGTTTGGCCAGTGTAGGCCGTCATTGTAAATAAGAATTTGTTCTTAACTGACTTGCCTAGTAAAATAAATAAAAAATAATCATTATGCTTAATTCCTGACTGGTGCGTAAAAAATATGCTTCTCTGCAAAAATCTGGGTAAAAGATTGAAAGGAATGGGAGTCTTATTCAGTACATTTAGTAATTGTCTAAAGTCTCAACCTTGACAGCAGACATGCCAGCTATGATAGTTAGACAAGCTAGCTACTCTAACTTGATCGATAGCCTGAAATGGCTTCTGGGTATCTAGTTGAGGTTGGGAACCTATCTGGGCTAGCTAAAACCAACAAACAATGTATCCCCCCCATTTTTTTTTTACATTATTATTTTTCAACAGGACCAATCAGAGGGGTACGTGCCCCTGTGCCCCCAATGGGCATGGAGCCTCTGATCCCACACAACAAGGCAGAAAACCAAGCTGATAAATCTTTGTCAAGCAGTGTGTGAACTATCCATCTAGTATAGGAGTCAATTCGGACATGATTGCAGACGCACACAAACTTGAAAGGGAACGGGGGATACTTAGTCAGTTGTACAACTGAATGCATTCAACTGAAATGTGTCTTCCGCATTTAACCCAACTCCTCTGAATCAGAGAGGTGCGGCGGGCTGCCTTAATCGACATCCACGTCTTCGTCGCCCGGGGAACAGTGGGTACACAATAGTGTGCGTCTCAGCAACAACTGTAAAATGTGTTTATTTAAGTCAGAACAAACAACCATCCAATTTAGAATTAATTATATTGAATAAACACAAAAGGATTTGTGCATGCTCTTTATTTTTTCTAATGAATATTTTTCTAATTATTCATTTTTTGATAATTAGTGAGCCAAACAAGACCGTACAGTACATTTAATTTGTTTTGCATAAATAGACTACAGGCATTTTAGTTACATTTGTCAATACAAATTCATACAGGTATGCAGTCATTTCATGACCCAAGGTAATAAATACACACTGAAACATCAAGTTGTCCATAAAAGATAACTTACATTCTGGACCTTATGAAAAGAGAGGTTGTCCATGAAACAACCGTCTGCAATCCCCAGGAATAAAATAAAAACGTAAAAAAGTGTTTGATACGAGTATTTAAAGACCACTTTTTTCATATTTTGTCCAGAACAGATGCACCAGTTAGTGTGAAAGAATAGAGAATAAAGATGACAGAACACCCAAAATAAATTAACAAAAATAATAACTTAAAAATCATTAATAATCAATCCATGTATGTCAACGCAATGCAAAAAGCACATCACAAACAAACAAACAGTAAGTGGGGGGATAAGAAGTGTTCACAACATTCCTGCCCATCACTTCACATAAACAAAGGGAAATCAATGCCATATTTTCCATTTAGATAAAAAAACTACTTTGGCAAGTAAGTAAATACATCTGTTCTAGATCAAATCGAACTCCACGCACTGATGTTTTGACATGGAGTCACCAGACCAGGATGCTACAATTAGCCGATTTAATGTGAAAAAGTCACTAAAGTCAAGGGCTTGAGGAGGATGGAGTCAGTCTAGTGGCAGTCGAAGCAGAAGGTAGGTTAACGGTCAAAGTGTTGAGGCTGGTAAAACAACGTCATCAGGCAGTAGGGGAGGTAGGGTTGGGGTCAATTCCATTTCAATTCAGTCAATTCCCGGAGCTAAGGATCAGCCAGAGCAAGAGGATTTTTTTACATTGAAAAGCACTGACAACAATTGGAATTTCAGTTTAGAGTTTTCAGTTTCACACTGAGTTGAAATGGAATTGAGCCCGACCCTGGAGGTGGGCCTTTAGCGACACGTGCACCTCGTGGCGATCATTTCATCTAACTCCTTGTAGGCGATGGAGTCAGCTTCAAGGGTTAAGACACTCAGGGGATTGTACTCCGAGGGAACACAGGAAGGCCGTGGTACAGAGGAGTCCAGTTTGTGGTAGATCATGTTCTGGAAGAAGGTGTGTCTGGGGGAGCCGTAGATGAACCCCACAGCCCTGGGACAGGTGCCTTTACAGTACCTGGGGTTGTACCTGTGGGGGAAAATGATCCAATGGCTCAGTTTGAGCTCACTGAAGCTCACTCTGAAGTCGTACAAGGCACAGTCGCTCGTAGGGAAGTCAGAACTCAGGAGGAGGTCAGGGAGGACGGTCTTCGTGCTCGTTTTGCCTCCTGCGTTGTTCGTCGACAGATCTGGAGATTCTCTCCTCAGCCTCCTCCTCTCGCTCCGGCTGACCCTTCGCTCTGGTTTGAACTCCGCCAGGCTCTCTAAGGTGTCCAACTCATTGGCTGACCTCATATGACCTCGTGACCTGGTGGGCAGCCATCTTCGGTGTGCCAGCTCACTGGTGTCGTTGAGGTACAGGAGCAAGGACGGAGACCTCAGGTGGAGCTCCACGGGGCCCCTACCACTCCGCTCCTCTCCTCCACCCTTAGCCCCTCTGCCTCTTCCCTCCACACAGGTCAGGTTGATCAACAGGTTGATGTCTTTCTTGTGGGACTGGATGAGAGGTTGGAGAAATGCTGTGACGTCCACCTTGAGGGCCACAATGAAAATAAGTTTGCATTACTGTGGTTTAACAGCCTCTGTGATTGTAAATGCAGTGTATCCAAATAGGTGGTTCAATTGTGCTTTTAAAATGATAAAATATAGCCCTTTTATAGTCTTAATACAATTTCCCTAAGGTAAAAAATAAAGTTGTTTGCATTTAATTAAATCAAAAATCACCTCAACCCACTTCCTCCTGCGGTCCGTGTGGAACAGGAAGTTAACTGAGTGATGGGTGCTGGGGCAGAGAGGACACTGATCCTGGGTATCCCGCTCTTTCACATCTAGGTAACACAGGGTAGTCATGGACGTGGCCTGCTCTTGGTCGAAAGAGTACAGCAGGACAGACTTCAGGAGCTGCTCCTTGGCTCTGACACGGTGAAGATTGTAGGAGAGGTCTTGCATGAAGAACTCTGTAGGAAACATGGGAAATGTAGGCCTATAAGAAGTACAACCAGAGACATCTCATTCGCTCCTTTTATCTGCTTCATATACAGTCAAACTAAGCAGACTAGACCCAGCTGCTAATGCATTGGTGCCTATGGGAGAGACACCCCTTACGCTACCCTGAACTGTGACTATTGTTTTTCCATGGTAAACGGCCTGAGTGGGACATCTTCATTTATCCACCATCTTTGGTAGAACTGTGTCAACCTCTTTAGTAGCATAATGAAGACTATAGGTCAGGCCTACATATGCTCTAAACATACTGTGTCTTCAAGAAGTATTCAGACCCCTTGACTTTTTCCACATTGTTACGTTATAGCCTTATTCTAAAATTGATTAAATAGTCCCCCCCCCCCCCCCCCAATCAATCTACACACAATACCCCATAATGACAAAGAAAAAACAGGTATTTTGAAGTGTTTCCTATTTTAAAAATTAACAGAAATATCACATTTACATAAGTATTCAGACCCTTTACGCAGTACTTTGTTTGAAGCACCTTTGGCAGCGATTACAGCCTCAAGTCTTCTTGGGTATGACGCTACAAGCTTGGCACACCAGTATTTGTGGAGCTTCTCTCATTCTTCTCATTTGCAGATCCTCTCAAGCTCTGTCAGGTTGGATGGGGAGCGTTGCTGCACAGCTATTTTCAGGTCTCTCCAGATATTTTCGATGGGGTTCAAGTCTGGGCTCTGGCTGGGCCACTCAAGGACATTCAGAGATTGTCCCGAAGCCACTCCTGCGTTGTCTTGGCTGTGTGCTTAGGGTCGTTGCCCTGTTGGAAGGTGAACCGTCGCCCCAGTCTGAGGTCCTGAGCACTCTGGAGCAGGTTTTCATCAAGGATCTCTCTGTACTTTGCTCCGGTCATCTTTCCCTCGATCCTGACTAGTCTCCCAGTCCCTGCCGCTGAAAAACATCCCCACAGCATGATGCTGCCTCCACGCTTCACTGTAGGGATGGTGCCAGCTTTCCTCCAAACGTGACGCTTGGCATTCAGGCCAAAGAGTTCAATCTTGGTTTCATCAGACCAGAGAATCTTGTTTCTTATGGTCCGAGAGTCCTTTAGGTGCCTTTTGACAAATCAAAGCGGGCTGTCATGTGCCTTTTACTGAGGAGTGGCTTCCGTCTGGCCACTACCATAAAAGGCCTGATTGGTGGAGTGCTGCAGAGATGGTTGTCCTTCTGGAAGGTCTCCCATCTCCACAGAGAAACTCTATAGCTCTGTCAGTGACCATCGGGTTCTTGGTCACCTCCCTTACCAAGGCCCTTCTCCCCTGATTGCTCAGTTTGGCCGGGCAGCCAGCTCTAGGAAAAGTCTTGGTGGTTCAAAACTTCTTCCAATTAAGAATGATGGAGGCTACTTCAATGATGCTGACATTTTTTGGTAGCCTTCTCCAGATCTGTGCCTCGATACAATCCTGTCTCTGAGCTCTACGGACCATTCCTTCGACCTCGTGGCTTGGTTTTTGCTCTGACATGCACTGTCATCTGTGGGACCTTATATAGACAGGTGTGTGCCTTTCCAAATCATGTCCAATCAATTGAATTTACCACAGGTGGATTCCAATCAAGTTGTAGAAACATCAAGGATGATCAATGGAAACAGGATGCACCGGAGCTGAATTCTCACAGCAAAGGGTCTGAATACTTATGTAAATAAGGTATGTTTTTTTATTTGTAATAAATTAGCAAATGTCTAAACCTGTATTCGCTTTGTCATTATGGGGTATTGTGTGTAGATTGCTGAGAATGTTGTATTTATTTAAATCAATTTTAGAATAAGGCTGTAACGTAACAAAATGTGGAAAAAGTCTGAAAACGTTCTGTTTTTCTCTAAACATGGGAAGAGTAAAGGCCTATGGAGGTATAACCAAGGCCTAAATATATCAAATAATATACACTAACGGTCAAAAGATTTAGAACACCTACTCATTCAAGGGTCTTTATTTTTACTATTTTCTACATTGTATAATAGTGAAGACATGAAAACTATGAAATAACACATATGGAATCATGTAGTAACCAAAGAAGTGTTAAACAAGTCAAAATATATGTAATATTTTAGATTCTTCAAATAGCCACCATTTGCCTTGATGACAGCTTTGCACACTCTTGGCATTCTCTCAACCAGGTTCACCTGGAATGCTTTTCCAACAGTCTTGAAGGAGTTCCCACATATGCTGAGCACTTGTTGGCTGCTTTTCCTTCACACTGCGGTCCGACTCATCCCAAACCATCTCAATTTGTTTGAGGTCGGGGAATTGTGGAGGCCAGGTCATCTGATGCAGCACTCCATCACTCTCCTTCTTGGAGGTGTGTTGGGTCATTGTCCTGTTGAAAATCAAATGATAGTCCCACTAAGCCCAAACCAGATGGGATGGTGTATCGCTGCAGAATGCTGTGGTAGCCATGCTGGTTAAGTGTGCCTTGAATTCTAAATAAATCACAGACAGTGTCACCAGCAAAGCACCCCCACACCATAACACCTCCTCCTCCATGCTTTACGGTGGGAACTACACATGCGGAGATCATCCGTTCATCCACACCTAACAAAGACACGGCGGTTGGAACCAAAAATCTCAAATTTGGACTCCAGAACAAAGGACACATTTCCACCGGTCTAATGTCCATTGCTTGTGTTTTTTGGCCCAAGCAAGTCTCTTCTTATTATTGGTGTCCTTTAGTAGTGGTTTCTTTGCAGCAATTCGACCATGAAGGCCTGATTCACACAGTCTCCTCTGAACAGTTGATGTTGAGATGTGTCTGTTACTGGAACTCTGTGAAGCATTTATTTGGGCTGCAATTTATGAGGCTGGTAACTCTAATTAACTTATTATCTGCAGCAGAGGTAACTCTGGGTCTTCCATTCCTGTGGAAGTCCTCATGAGAGCCAGTTTCATCATAGCACTTGATGGTTTTTGCGACTGCACTTGAAGAAACTTTCAAAGTTATTGAAATTGTCCATATTGACTGACCATGTCTTAAAGTAATGATGGACTGTCGTTTCTCTTTGCTTATTTGAGTGGTTCTTGCCATAATATGGACTTGGTCTTTTACCAAATAGGGCTATCTTCTGTATAACCCCCCTACCTTGTCACAACACAACAGATTGGCTCAAATGCATTAAGGAGGAAAGAAATTCCACAAATAAACTTTTAAGAAGGCACACCTGTTAATTGAAATGCTTTCCAGGTGACTACCTCATGAAGCTGGTTGAGAGAATGCCAAGAGTGTGCAAAGCTGTCATCAAGGCAAAGGGTGGCTATTTGAAGAATCTTAAATATAATTTTGATTTGTTTAACACTTTGCATGGCCAGGCACGACTCCAACACCATCATTAAGTTTGCCGACGACACAACAGTGGTAGGCCTGATCACCGACAACGATGAGACAGCCTATAGGGTCTCATCGTGTGGTGGCAGGATAACAACCTCTCCCTCAACGTGACCAAGACAAAGGAGATGATTGTGGACTACAGGAAGAAGAAGAGGACTGAGCACGCCCCCATTCTCATCGACGGGCTGTAGTGGAACAGGTTGAGAGCTTCAAGTTCCTTGGTGTCCACATCACCAACGAACTATCATGGTCCAAACACACCAAGACAGTCGTGAAGAGGGCACGACAAAGCCTATTCCCCCTCAGGAGACTGAAAAGATTTGGCATGGGTCCTCAGAAAAATTCTACAGCTGCACCATCAAGAGCATCCTGACTGGTTGCATCACCGCCTGGTATGGCAACTGCTTGGCCTCCGACCGCAAGGCACTACAGAGGGTAGTGCGTACGGCCCAGTACATCACTGGGGCCAAGCTTCCTGACATCCAGGACCTTTATACCAGGCGGTGTCAGAGGAAGGCCCTCAAAATTGTCAAAGACTCCAGCCACCCTAGTCATAGACTGTTCTCTCTGCTACCGCACGGCAAGCGGTACCCGAGTGCCAAGTCTAGGTCCAAAAGACTTCAACAACTTCTACCCCCAAGCCATAAGACTCCTGAACAGCTAATCATGGCTATCCGGACTATTTGCACTGCCCCCCCACCCCATCTTTTTACGCTGCTACTCTGTTTATTATTTATGCATAGTCACTTTAACTCTACCCACATGTACATATTACTTAAAACTACCTCAACTAGCCGGTGCCCCCGCACATTGACTCTGCACCGGTACCCCCCTGTATATATAGCCTCCCTACTGTTATTTTATTTTACTTCTGCTCTTTTTTTCCTCAACACTTTGTTGTCGTTTTATTTTACTTTTTTATTAAAAATAAATGCACTGTTGGTTAAGGGCTGTAAGTAAGCATTTCACTGTAATGTCTGCACCTGTTGTATTTGGCGCATGTGGCCAATAAAATTTGGTGTTCCATCTACACGGATTTAAGTGGATTTAACAAGTGACATCAATATGGCATCATAGCTTTCACCTGGATTCACCTGATCAGTCTGTCATGGAAAGAGCAGGTGTTCCTAATGTTTTGTACACCGTTTTAAATGAGTGTCCCAGTGTAATATAAGCCTCACTCACTCCATTGCATTTCCATGTAAATTGTTTCACCCAAAACTCACCTTTGCTTTGCTCCAGGCACTCATCCCGCGGGGTTATCAGTCGAACTGTGTTGTACAAGTGGTTGTTCCCTTCCGAACTCCTCTCATGTCTTGAAGACATCCTGTACAGTCTTTTCATGTATCGAACATATCTCGACTCGGGTCTCATTCTTGGGGTCGTGTCTCGCCATGGATCTCCCTGTGCGGTCAACGCCTTCAGAAGGGGCGACAAGATACTGTCATGTTGGTACAAAGTGGAATCGCCAAACTCGTCAGCTAGGTTTGACGTAGTCGGGAACGATCCAAGTGAAAGTCCGCCGATCAAAAGTTGTAGTAAAATAGAGGTCCAGTAATGAAGAACAATAGTCAAGTGGAGGTGAGTCTCCATTGTAAATCAATCCGTCTAAACTTTATGGAGAACTCCCTCAGCTCAACCAACCTATACACCCGTCTCTCAAATTGAACAGGTGTGCGCGATCAACTCGCGCGTCAAAAACCAGCAGGGAAAATGTAAGGGGCCTTGGAAAAAGGTTATTTTTGTCATCTACACAGAAGATTTAGAAATATGAAACGTTCCGATGGAGCAACTTCAACTGTCAGTGTATAGTAGAAGGATTTTGATGTGCTGGTTACAGGTGAGCATCATCTTTGCAATGAACCAAGTCATAAATGCAGTAAACATTAACTTTGGCCACAAAAATCTACTTACATCAGAAGGCCAATTGTGTCGGGGGGGGGGGTGCTCCATCCTCTGTGTGTGTTATTTCTGTCTCCAGCGTTCCACAACTCGTCCACTTGACTGGCTTCTTGGAACAGAACGGTTTTAAAAGGTCCACTGCAGCCGTTTTTATCTCAATATCAAATCATTTCTGGGGAACAATTAAGTACCTTACTGTGATTGTTTTAAATAAAAATGGTCAAAAAGAAACAAAAATTGCTTATTTTTGTTTAGGGCATTTTCATAATTTATAAAATGGCACAGTATTATTAAATCAAATCAAATCAAATGTTATTTGTCACATACACATGTGTAGCAGATGTTATTGCGGATGTAGCGAAATGCTTGTTCTTCTAGCTCCGACAGTGCAGTAATATCTAACAATTTCACAACATATACCCAATACACACAAATCTAAGTAAGGAATGGAATTAAGAATATATACATATATGGACAAGCAATGACAGAACGGCATGGACTAAGAGACAGTATAATATTATAGAATGCACTATATACATATCAGATGAGTAATGCAAGATATGTAAACATTATTAAAGTGACTAGTGTTCCATTTCTTAAAGTGGCCAGTGATTTCAATAGGCAGCAGCAGCCTCTAATGTGCTAGTGATAGCTATTTAACAGTCTGATGGCCTTGAGATAGAAGCTGTTTTTCATTCTCTCGGTCCCAGCTTTGATGCACCTGTACTGACCTCGCTTTCTGGATGATAGCGGGGTGAACAGGCAGTGGCGCGGGTGGTTGATGTCCTTGATGAACTTTTTGGCCTGTGTCATCGGGTGCTGTAGGTGTCCTGGAGGGCAGGTAGTTTCCCCCCGGTAATGCGTTCGGCAGACCACACCACCCTCTGGAGAGCCCTGCAGTTGGGGGCGGTGCAGTTGCCGTACCAGGTGGTGATACAGCCCGACAGGATGCTCTCAATTGTGCATCTGTAAAAGTTTGTGAGGGTTTTAGGTGCCAAGACACATTTCTTCAGCCTCCTGAGGTTGAAGAGGCTCTGTTGCGCCTTCTTCACCACACTGTCTGCGTGGGTGGACCATTTCAGTTTGTCAGTGATGTGTACGCCAAGGAACTTGAAGCTTTCCACCTTCTCCACTGCGGTCCCGTCGATGTGGATAGGGGGGTGCACCCTCTGCTGTTTCTGAAGTCCACGATCATCTCCTTTGTTTTGTTATTATTCCAACCTCATAGTGTGAAAATATATATATAAATAAAACACAGGGAAATGATGTTTTTTACTGCACTGGGCCTTTACCAGTTCTCAGCTCAGTGCTCCATGAGTTTATGGGTAGAAAGGGGTTATGAAAGTACTTTTTACTTTTTTACAACCCAACACAGGCAATAGTTTTGTAGTGTTTTAAGGGCAGGGGAAGGGGGGTCCTGTTAAAAGAGAGGCCTTTTACTGTAGTGAGTAAGCCTACAGCACTTTTAAGAACAAATGTTGTCTGTTAGGCCTACATTGGACTACATTTATATGAGACTTTTTCATCTTTTCACTTAAGTTGAAAGATGTTCATTTCTGAAGTTATTGTCCCCTGACAGTTACATGCAGACAGAGGTCGATGTGGCCTATATTTATTTTTAGAAGACAGTTTAGTGCATCATCCCTATTCTGAATGCTGACCTCTCCCCAGACAGAGAGACAATGGCACATTGTTTAACAAACTGGATCACTTATTATGCTATTGTTGTCTGTGTCCACCCCGTCACACTAGTTGTCTGTGTTCAACGGTCATATATTGGTTTTATGAAAGTACCTTTTTTTTTTACCAACCAACACGATCACTAGTTTTTGTCTGTTTTCAAGCCGCAGTCACATGTTGGCCCTGTTCAAAGAGAGCACTTTTTGTCGTGTTAAGCTACACACTTTTAAACCCCGAACAATTGTTGTCTGTTAAACCCTCATTGACTATTGTATGTCTTTTGTCATCATTTTTCCCTTGTTGCAAACCCGTCATCATTTGATGTCTTGTTCCCCCCGTTACATGAAACAGTGTCATGTGGTTAAACGTCTTTCTTTGAGTACGTTGTGCCACCTCATCACTATTGTTGTCTTGTTCCCAACCCGTCATCACATTGTTTGTCCCAAACGTCCTTCATACTATTGTTGTCTGTGTTCCAAACCCCGTCATCACTATTGTTGTCTGTGTTCCAAACCCCGTCATCACTATTGTTGTCTGTGTTCCAAACCCCGTCATCACTATTGTTGTCTGTGTTCCAAACCCCGTCATCACTATTGTTGTCTGTGTTCCAAACCCCGTCATTACTATTGTTGGACTTTGGTGAAAATAAATCAGTGTAAACGATGCATACGCTGAATCAAATGTCATAATTTAGACCTTTTTTAAATGTAGTATTGGATCAATTTAAAGTTTAACATTGTGCTGACCACATGTAAACGTTTTTTACACTGCAAAGATGGGATAGCAAAAATGTTTAAACCCAGAGGTTTTCTGTGAGGTTTTAAAGGTTTGAGGTGATCCAAGTATGCGATGCTGAGTCACACCAACCCGACTCAATACGGATCATTACATGAATGAGCAGCCAGCTGTTGATCATCTCTAAGCTGCTCGTCATCTATTGCCAGGGTAACAACAGAAGGCTGACTCCTTGTTTCCTTGGGTGTGGTGGGGGTTGGAGTGATGGCTGCTTGGTAATGACGTGGTGATTATGAGTGACTAATAGTACCCTTCATTCATGCCTAATGGTTAACTAATGGAGAACATTTACGACTCTTTGTTCATTCCATCTAAATTCCAATCAGTTCTGGAATTTAGTTATTTTCCGGATTACATTCTGTATTAAATTCAGGAATTGACCTCCACACAATTGTAATTATTAAGTGGTGATTTTCGATGCAATTTCAAATGGCATGTTGTCTGATAGATAGACAGACAGACAGACAGACGGGTGAAACAGAGAACCCGGCTCCCCAGGCAGAATTCTCCCAACTCAGAATGGGGAGCAGTGACATCATAGTGGGGGGACGCATGCAGCCAGCCAGCCAGAGTGAACATGTTCAGTTCACTGCTCCTCACATAACAAGCCTCAGGGACTTTAAAGCTGCAATCATGTTTCAGCCCAACGGGAGCCCCACTCAAACTGAGGGATATACAGGGACATATCCCAGACTGCACCTTTTAATAACACATTTAACCCCACAGTCAGATGAATCCCAGCCATGTCTGAGCCTGTTTACGACCGGGACGGTGAATTTATGTCTGGACCACTAACTCAGCAGAAAAACTTCTCAAATGGCTTGACACAAACATTGATTAAAGGTAGACTCAGCAAAGTGACGTTGCCACGAGCAGCACTGCAGATATTGAGATGAGCGAGATGCAAGACTTCGCTCTCATACAGTCACACACAGTAAATGTGCATGGGTTGGCTTCACGCTGTTCACAGCGTGGTAACCGTGAGACCAAAACAGAGAAGGAGTTGAGCGGAAATTAACACACTATGCTGTTTACTTTCTGCACCTACGTCATATCGCTGAGTCTACCTTTAAATTAATCATTATCAGTGTAGGAGCTGTACTTCAAAGCTTCAAAAAAACAAAAATGGTCATCTATGTAGAATAGCTTATGTCTAGGGCCCTGTGTTTTGGGCTATTATGTCACATACCTAGGATTTAACCTTAAGCCTTTTCCAGAAATGAGAATTAGACCAAAAATAAAAAGCAGTTGTCTGAGGACAGTGCTGGATCATCTGGCATGAAAAGAAAAGGGGACAGTTTGATGAAAAAGCTTTAAATAAAGGTTCAAATCCAGATCATGTGACGTCCCACTGGGCACAAATGTCAATTCAACGTCTATTCCACGTTGGTTCAACGTCATTTCATTGAAATTACGTGGAAACAACTTTGATTCAACCAGTGTGTGCCCAGTGGGATGATTGTCCAAAACACAGGACCCTACTTATGCCTGGTCTTGTCCTCTTCTGGACATCTCCTGTACTGCCACGGGAATCTGGAAAGGAAAGAGGTACAGATACTGTGCCCTGTACCTATAGATGGCCTCCCACTTACCTCCCCTCCCACTGTACCTCCTAGCTCCTCCATCACTCCTTCATATACATTTACATTTGTACATTTTAGTCATTTAGCAGACGCTCTTATCCAGAGCGACTTACAGTTAGTGCATACATTATTTTATCGAACCCACAACTCTGGCGTTGCAAACGCCATGCTCTACCAACTGAGCTACATCCCCTGTAAACATAATAATAATAATTTAATGCGAAGGCAACATTCTATCCACCCACTCATAGCATAGATGGCCTCCCACTCACCTCCCCTCCCCTACAGTCACATTCTCAAGCTGAGGCGGCTTTCTTCTGAAGAAATATAACAGCAACAAGCTAAATCAGACATGGAACCCTTTTTAAAGAAGGAACAGTGAGTTTTTCTCTCCAAAAGCATTTTGTAATGCTCTGTTCTTAGCATTACAAGAACGGACTGGCACATCCCCATAACGTCTTTTACTTTGACATTCCTGACAAACGATAAATTAAAGCAGAGGAAGAAATATGTGAAAGTCAACACCATGGAATCATTCAGGATGGCATCGACACGATGGAATCATTCATGATGGCATCGACACCATGGAATCATTCATGATGGCATCGACACCATGGAATCATTCAGGATGGC